TTTGCTAGTAACTTCTTATACTGAATAAAAACATTTTTTTTTTTCGAATTTCATTGCCCTATGATATTGGGCCGTTTTTAACAGACGGAAAAAACGGGAGGTTCTCAATTCGACGCGTATTGTTTTTTATGTGTGACCACGCATACCTTTTTACCGAGTAGTCTGATTATGATAATTATTTTTTATTGGAAAGGGTATACGGTATAACCCTAAATTGGTCCCATATGAATTTGGAAAATAAAACCAACTTCAAAATTGAATATGGAAGTAAAAAATAATATCTGGTTTTTTATTTGGAAATCGGGGGGTCAAGATTGGAAGACGTATTATTATCGATCAGAAACGAAAATCTATTTAATGTTTCATCTTGACCCCGCCCGACTTCCAAATCATGAACCATATATTATTTTTTACCATAGATGAATGATTGGTCTCGCTTCACTCGACTAGATACCGCCGGCGTACTTGTCTAATGGAGGCCATACACACTAGGTTTTGCATGATGGTTATGCATGTACATGCATAACCGAGTTTCATATTGCACATACACGTTAGGGTTTGCATGTACAGTTTTGCCATTACTCTCAGTTGAGCTACGTGACGGTGTGTGTAGAACGCCTATTAAGTACTGTGAATGGAATACTTTTTTTAGTTATCAATCTCTGGTATTCTTTGCACTTTACGCCAAAGACAAGGTTCCGACTTATTACTTTCTATAAATTCTTCTAATGTTGCATTGCGCTTGCGACTAGTCATTTTCGAAACGACGCGGCGCAACAATTAAAAACTGAGAACTGTGACAGGCAAGCTCGCCGGACGCCACACACGCTCGGTTATGCATGCGCATGCATAACCGAGCGGCATAAAATATCAATTTTGATGTTTGTTCGGTTGCATGTACATGCAACGATAACTGTACAGTTTTATCACATACACGCTAGGTTTTGCATGATGGTTATGCATGTACATGCATGACCATCATGCAAAACCTAGTGTGTATAGCCTCCATAATGCGGCAACAAATACTATGCCGAAATCGGCATACCCGAGCTTTCACCGAGCCAGTCTACCTGACAGTTGGTGTTAATCGAAAGTAAAATGCCAGTTTATGTAGTGAAATAATACAACAATAAATAACAAGGACGCTGGGATCACATAACATAAATAAGTATAGTAAAATTACGAAATTTCAACGTAAAATAACATGAACCCTAAACGTCATTCAGGTGTTGCCGCGAATACAAGAATCAAGTCCCTATGGTTAAGATTTTTATTTATAATGTAAATTTATTGTTAGTGTATTTTATTATTGAACCTTTCGACATGAGTAAACTAGCCTATTAGGCTAGTTTACTCATGTCGAATTGTATTAAATAAATGCTTATTTCTTAAAGTGTTTAGTCTAAGGAACCTTAATATATCGATTTTACTTCATAAAAGCAGAAGATTGCTGTAGAAATTTAATTTAAAAAAATATTTTTTAGTCTATATTTTTTAAACACTAAAAACGCTGTTCGCCACATTCGCCATGATTTTGACGTCTCTTGTGGTAAACAACTAAATGTCATTCGCGTGTTACTGTAGGTGGATTCTTTCGTCTGACTAAATTTATCTTAAAACACTTTTAACTTTAGGAAAGAAAAAAACAGTAAACTTAGTTTTTTTTGACTAAACAAATTATGGATGCCGGCTTTGTGAAAGCAGAAATCACAAATTTGCCAAGAATTGACGCATTGATGGTTGGTGAATTTGTTGCACTAAACCCCGATTTCTGCTCTGCGGAGCAGAGACACGACAAGGCACTCAACACAATCTATATAAGTACAGTGCATTTAGTATTACAATGTAGTAATAAACATAAAACTGATACAACATATGAATAAGTGTAATAAAGTTGCGTAGGTTAATTTCTTTCGGCACTTTAATCCACAACTTTCCTGGAGTCTTCAAGGATGTGTTTTTATATTCTCGTACAATACAGTAATGATAATTACTTTATTTTTCGTGGTATTTATTAGAAATCATGTTTTTTTTTATTATAAACTCAGTTAAAAGTAATTTTCTACGTGTTTACGAGTTTTTGTTTACCACAGTTCACGTCATAGCATAGACAATCTATAGACTAAAATGGCTGACAGCGTTTTTGTATGTCCATGAAAAGTCTATTTTAAAATTAAAGATTTGTAGCTTTCTAGGTTTAAAAAAAATACAATACATTTTTTTTCGGTCTAATAGAACATTTATTAACCATTTAAAACCTTTTTCCAAAAAGGGTTTTCCTCATGTCGAATTGTATTAAATAAATGTTTATTTCTTAAAGTATTTGGTCTAAGGAACCTGAATATATCGATTTCACTTCATAAAAGCAGAAGATTGCTGTAGAAATTTAATTTTAAAAATTATTTTTTAGTCTATATTTTTTAAACACTAAAAAAGCTGTTCGCCAAATCCGCCATGATTGTGACGTCTCTTGTTGTAGTAAACAACTAAATGTCATTCGTGTGTTACTGTGGGTGGATTCTTTCTGATTAAATTTATCTAAAAAACATTTTTAACTTTGGAAAAATTCCGTTTACTGTTTTTTTTGACAAAACTAATTATGGATGCCGGCTATGCGAAAGTAGAAAGCACAAATCTGTCAAGAATTGACGCATTGATGGTTGGTGATTTTTTTGTACTGTAGAGCAGAGAAACGACAAGGCATCTATGTAAGTACAGTGCATTTAGTATTACAATGTAGTAATAAACATAAAACTGATACAACATATGAATAAGTATAATAAAGTTGCGTAGGTTAATTTCTTTCGGCACTTTAATCCACAACTTTCCTGGAGACTTCAAGGATGTGTTTTTATATTCTCGTACAATACAATAGTGATAATTACTTTATTTTACGTGGGTTTTCATGTTTTTTTTATTATAAACTCAGATAGGTTATTTTCTACGTGCTTACGAATTTACTACAGGTTGATATCATAGCATAGATAATCTATAGACTAAAATGGCCGACAGCGTTTTTGTATGTCCATGAAAAGTCTATTTTAAAATTAAAGATTTGTAGCTTTCTAGGTCTCAAAAAAATACAATATATTTTTTTCGGTCTAATAGAACATTTATTAACCATTTAAAACCTTTTTCCAAAAAGGGTCAACTAGCCTATTGTAATGTATAACTAGAAAACTTTTTTTTTCTTTATAGCCTGCACGGTTTGTGCGTCAGTCACATACAAATGTAAAAGTAGGGAAACAGGATAAAAAAAGGAACGGAATTTTTTAGTAAAGGATCAGGCACAAAACTTTTTACAGAGTAATTTGATTTTCATTTTTTTTTGTTACATCAAAGTTTGAAAAGCGAAATGTGATAGTATCACATGTAATTGGAAAAAAAGAACCCTAGGGGTAGGAAAATAGTGGTTGGTCACTCACAGATTTTGATGCCGAGTTTGAAATTATAGCCACAAAAAATTGAACTTTTTTACAAATAAATTAAACCGCCGCGCCGAACCGTTATTCGGCGGTTTAATTTTTATTGAGTATTATTTTCATACGAAGAACCTGCCCTCCATAATATGGACCTAGGATTTGGTTATCATGAATAGTCTAACAACCATTTTCAAAACCTTTGAAGTGTAAATAAATAAATATTCGGAATTAATAAGTAAATAATGAAATCGGGTACTAACCAAAGACTTAATATAATACGTCTTTGGTAATAACTGAAACAATAGACATACTATGTCTATGACAAATATACCACAGACAACGTTACCTCTTCATTTTAGCAATTTTGTAGAAATAAAATACATTGCTCACAATGTTTCATCAGGCGCTACGTAACTAGTCAAAGTAGACATTTTTAAAAATTACAATAAATTGTATATATTGTCCGCAAGTTCAAAATTACGCATTTTACCGCACACTCCAATACATTGCGCCGTACGTATCCTTTACGTTTTTTTTCGGTCTTATTTCCTTAGAAGCGCGCTTATATAAGCTTTACCTTTATCTCACTTTTTATTTAAAAAATCTGCTTTTTAATACTAAAAAGAAACGAAAGATGTAGTTCTCATTTTCACCACCCGCACATGGCGTCATTCGGGAATGCATAACAGTTTCTTTTTAGAAAAAGTTTGCTTCATTACTTAATTAGGTAGGTAGGTATAGGTACTGTTTTCTCGCAAATGTTTTGAAAAACGTTGTATGACCTTCGTGTGACAACAACAGTACATTTCTATAGTAGGCAACGTGACGCGGTGCTGTACTGTGTCAGACTCATCAGAGAGTTACTTGTTTCATACATTTAGTACGATTAGATTGAGAGCGGTGTCGACGCATCGCGACACACAAGTATAGTTCTTACCGTACTAAATGTATGACCGATCGCCTCACAACACAGCACGACAGATAAATATATTTTTGCCTTAATTATATGGTCAAACGCTGCGTCCTGTCACGATGCTTACTTTAAAAATGTACTGTTGTTGTCTGTTTCATACGCTGACGTCGGTGTATGGATGTCGCAGGTGGCATTCGTATGTTTTGCGTGCGTCTATAGTTATTTCGAACCATTGCATTATCTGATATGGCAGTGCCATTACAATGTAAAGAAAAAAAAAATACCTAATACAAGACTGCATAGACTTTATATTCTTAGCATTCTCAAACAGCAAGAATATGCACAAAACAAAAACAAAAGTAAGGGAAGCACTCCTGCGTCTACATATATAGTGATCTGTGCTCGCTCCTGCGGCCTCACCTCTCTATCACCCTCACACACGGCGCGTTTTTTATTATTATAATTTCTAAGTATTTTAATGTCAATATTTTAACATTTTTATCTATGAATTAAGCTTAGAATATCTATTAGGTATGCGTGTTTGCCATAGTGCTTGCATACTTTTATTAAGTCAATTTTAACATTGGCGAAATACTTTGTCCATGAAACAAAACCGGAGAACCAAACGTTCAAATAGAAATTAATAAGCGTCATACATTTTGACATTTGACGTTGGCAACATTAGCACGTTCTTTTTGCTCCGAATTTTTTGGAGACACGTGCGTCATAAACGCCGAAATCTTTAAAATAAGCCAAAATGACTGAAGGAACTGCGACTATTCGCACACGCAAATTCATGACCAACAGGTAAAAATCATAACAAATGAAATCCGTGCATGAAAAGCTTGAAATGTTCCGTGAACTTGGTTGTACCAATGTGACAGGTTATCTCTAACAACGTTTTGTAAATTGCAGGTTGTTGGCTCGCAAGCAGATGGTTTGCGATGTTCTCCATCCAGGCAAGCCGACCGTCAGCAAAACTGAGATCAGGGAGAAGCTCGCCAAAATGTACAAGGTGACTCCTGATGTTGTATTCGTGTTCGGATTCAAAACCAACTTTGGTGGCGGCAAGTCCACTGGTTTCGCTTTGATTTACGATACCCTTGACCTGGCTAAGAAATTCGAACCTAAACATAGGTTAGCTCGCCACGGTCTATATGAGAAGAAGCGACCAACACGCAAACAGCGCAAGGAACGCAAGAACAGGATGAAGAAGGTGCGCGGTACTAAGAAATCTAAAGTCGGTGCGGCCTCCAAGAAGTGATGTGGTGCATAGGACTGTAAGTTAATAAAAAAATCCAAAAAAAAACTAGACTGTAGTTTCAATAACATTATCCTCATGCATAAATAATTCTTTGGGTGTTGAAGATTCAAAACATGACTGTAAAAAAAGTGAAGTTAATAGAGGTGGTTCTAGAAATCTTATAGCTCGATTTCGCAATCATAATTAATATCATTTTTATTAAGTTTCATATGCGCACTTGCTTTCAACTCGTGAATTTCAAGACCAGGGAATTTTCTTGAAAATCTTTGTCTAGTGAGACTATCCATACAATGCCATACTACCTGTATTTTACTCAGTATCTCTTTGTGCATTAATATTTTTGTATAGTGCCCAAGTCTACCAGAATAGTTCAGCAAAAAAAAAACAAGTTAGAATCATATTGTATTATATTGACAAATGCCAATATTGCAAGCAAACTTTAAGGCATATGTACAATATCCTGTCCCTGTAGCATGACTACCACAAGTTACATTTTATCATGTTGTTTATTGTGTCTTAACTGTCAAACTCGATAACAATTTGACAATTGGGAGTGATAAAATCGAGTGATATGTCATATCGCTGTGCTCATGCTAGGGGGACTGGTCAGGAATTCTGATATAGATACCTGTATGCATATCCATAAATTCAAAATGTTACAAGGAGACGAAATGCAAAAAAGACTGGTTCAGAAACTAAACTATTCCTTTATCAAAAAAGCCAAATGTCTGTGCTAGGCTCACGGAATTACAAATCTAAATTCCTGATTGGGAAACCATACATATGTGCCCAGCATAATAGTGTTTGTGACCCAAGAACTCAAAATTAAACTTTTGGAATAGGAAAGTAAAGAGTTTATTTCTTCTCTCGGGTTTGATTTTTAGATCACGGTGCAAGTCACATACCATGGTGCTCCAGTTATTATTCGCGGGCTTTTGATTGAAAACGTTGAAGTATCTCTATGTTGGATATAGAGGCTGTGCCCCATAATTGTAGGCCATAAATCCAGACCTGCTTTAGTACTACTAGTTTATTTTCCAGAGAAACTTGAGATTTTCTTCCCATGAGCCAATAAAGCTTTCTTAACTGTAAGTCAAGTGCTTTCCTTTTGGTAGATATATGTTTGTTCCAGGTTAAACGTCTATCCAAGTAGTTTTTTTTTCTTTTTATGTTATAGGGGGCATACAAGCAGACGGCTCACCTGATGGTAAGTGATCACCGTCGCCCATGGACACTTGCAACACCAGGAGTATCACAAATGCGATGCCGGCCTTTAAGGAAGGAGTATGCTCTTTTTTTGAAGGTTTTTGGGTCGTAACGGTCCGGAAACACTGCTGGCGACAACATATTCCCAAGTATTGAACTTCATCTGCCTGGGGTATCTTAATTTGGTTTAATTCGATTTCTGGGCATGTATCTTTCCTTAAAGAAAAGGTGAAATGAACTGATTTAGTTTCATTTGCCTGTATGCGCCAGTCATTCAGCCAGTCTGAGATATCATTCAGGTTTTGTTGCAATTTTGCCTGTGCTTCCTCAGGTGTTTTATCAACAGCAAGTATGGCAGAATCACCAGCAAATGTTCCTGTGATTATATCTTGTCTATTTGGTAAGTCCAAGGTGTATATAAGGTAGAGTATTGGACCCATTACGCTGCCCTGTGGAAGACCTAAAAAACTGAAAAAAGTTACATACTAAGCAGAGCCTGTAGTATGAAAACCGGGGTTGCTCCGAATTTTTCGAACCATCAGGCGGGTTATATCATTATTTGCCGCCCTTTTAACATAAAAATGTGTAAGTTCAGAATAAACATGACTCGGGATCAAATATTTATGCTCATCTGAAACTAAACTAAAAAAGAATTTGTGACCCAGGATCAGACAGAAACGAGACAGGTATCTCGTTTTTTTGTTATTATTTATGTAATCAAATCATATAATTTTCATATTTGAAATCAATGGCTTACACCAAATTACTGTTTTATGTTTTTGTTCAGGTTTAAAAAAAAACAAAATGACTATTTATCTACAAAGGAGATTGATCAAATTGGCCCAAATGCACAAAAAATATTGACATAAACGGTAATTCTTGGCGTAATTTACAATTTAATTTACAGTCATTAGATTTCAACGGACACCTTTGTATAATATATTTACTTTAAAAAGGACTTTTTACCGGTTTGGAAAACATACGAATCATTTTTAATGGCTATGGGTGTAGTAACATTCAGCCAAAGACTGATCGAAGTTGTTTATATAACATGAAAACAAATCTATTTTGTAAAGATCGATAAAATAAATCATTTTTTTTATTACACTGTGGTATTAATATCCTCAACTATATTATCATTTTCACTAGATGCAAATGTGCTCAATTATTATAGATGGTAGGCGACATCATAAAGTCTATTGCCATACATTTTTCGCCAAACACCTCCATAAACACATTATAATCTGTATATATGTTAGACTTTAAGGTATCTATCTATGGGCCTACGTTCCCTGACTATAAATTGATAAATAAATAAAATTATAAAGTGTGATACACTAAAAATCTAAAATATGGTTATCTTAAAAACATAACAAAAATAATGAAGCTACTGAATATATGAACTATAATTATAAATCTCTTAGCTTTCTTTGGTAAACGAGAGTTAAAAATTTCTCTAATCTGTGGCTCATTCATAATCATCACACAGTTTCTGTCACAGAGTACTTTATTATAACCGGAAATGACACCTGATTTTAAAAGTTACTCTTATGCATTAACTTTAAAAACAGGCAACTATCTGTTAATCTACATGCTCTATATACCTGAATCTAATCCATAATTTCGGTACTTGGCTTGATTTCCCTAGTTTACTATATAACTTATTTGTTTTTTATTATTTTAATAATACGTTCAGTGTATATGGTTTATAGAAGTTCTCAGGGGTGTCCGTCAATAATATTCGTTTATACAGTAATTTATATATAACTAGCGGACCCGACAGACGTTGGCCTGTCTAGTATGGTAGCGCCGTCTGTCGGATCCAATGTAAAACATTCCAAAATCAACAACTACTAATAATTTTTTATTATTTTTAAAGCATGTAACTGCTTGATGTTTAAATCTAAAGAAAATATAACTAGAAAAAATTCCACGCGGACCAGGCAGCAGACGGGACTCGAACCCGCACCCTTCGCAATCCGGGCGAATGCACTGACCAATTATGCTACCGCGGCCCTCACGGACCGCGTCGAAATTCTTTCTAGCTATTCTTAAGCTGCAAGGCAGCGCCATCTCTTCGCATTATAGGTAAACCCACAATGTCATATGGTAGCATAATTGGTCAGTGCATTCGCCCGGATTGCGAAGGGTGCGGGTTCGAGTCCCGTCTGCTGCCTGGTCCGCGTGGAATTTTTTCTAGTTATATTTTCTTTAGAACTACTAATAAATTAAAAATTAATTAAAAAAACATTGTCCAGCGGACAAAATTGTGAATCTAAACCATTCTCAGATCCCCTTGAACACACACAAATAAATGGGTGCGTGTACTTATGTAGGCGCGTGAGAAGTTATCCTTCTTTGGCATCGTTTAAAATTTGTTTTTAATTGCATGCAAATAATTAATTACAATAAATTAATAAAAGTCTGGAAAAGGACACAGTCAATAAAGTTCAGTTTTAATTTGAAAAAATAAATAAATAATCAAAATATTCAATTAAAATCGCTACTGAATATAATTTATTAGAACAATATGTGATTTGCACTTGTATGAAACTCAAACACGTATTCCGAATATAGAAACTAGAAACATGTGGATAAATATTATAAATATGAATACCTATAACTGTTACTTTATTACAAAAAATAAAGATGTGGTTTTTGGTTCTACTACACCAATAGTCAAGAGATGGCGCTGTAGTCTCCTGAATCGCGCTTTGGTTCCGTTGTTCCAGATTAATAAATACTTTTGATAGGCCTTCACAATGCAGTCGTTAGCACCCACTAAATAGAGATTCTATTTCTATTTTGTTGGTAGATTTTCTTAATGTGCGGTAAAGCGACCAACTTCTTGCTGTTAATTTTTGTGTTACAGTGATGCGCGCGCATCTTAAAATTTCACTCTCATCATTTTTTCATAACGCGCCTAAAGAAGTATTACTTCAAAAATTTCATCAAAATCGGTCCAGTCGTTTAAGAGAAGTTCAGTGACATACACACTCACAGAAGAATTATATATATAAAGATTTCGAATCTAGGAAACAATTTTTCATGATTATTGGTATTTAGGCCAAACATGTATGGAAGCTGAGCAATCTCCTTTGTAAATGAATGAAACTAAATGATGAACAGTAGTTGTTGGATGTATCTGGGTGATCTATCTGGAAATGCAGCTGGATTATATTTTTGAACTCCTAGTACAACAATGAACTTGGGATTCATTAAAAAAAATCTTTGTCTTACTAAACGGGCCGACTACCGAAAAATGAACTAAAATTATTTTTCAACAGATTTGCTCAAAAAATGCATTATCGGAGGTTGTATACATTGTTCGAAAGTTTACGAGCCATACAACGGAGCGTGCGGTAAAAGGTGTTACCGCACGTCTTAATTTTCATCACCCGCACGTGGCGGCAATTGCAAATGCGCATTTAAGGCCGGGACTCCACCAAAGCAGAGATGTATGCGGTGTGCTGTGTGTGTGTTCTTAAAAAAATATATCTATGATAGCAATATTAGTTATATTCTTTAAGCATTTAACTGCTAGATTTATATTTAAACATCTACTATCATTTAAATGATAAAATCTTTAGATTTCTCGCAGGTAGTACATTTTTCTTTAAATGTAAAGAATATCTAGCAGTTATGTGCTTACAAAAATAAAAAACATAATGAGATAAATTGTTGCACGGCATTCCTGGATATTTCCCAGATCTTTGATTAACAATTATAAGTTTTCATATTTATTGATAATATGGTTGCACTTCACATGACTATTAGCATTTTTTTGCCAGTTTATTATACAAAATAAATAACCAACTCTTCTTGCTGATATAAATATCTTAGATTAGGCAAGAAGAATATATGAACAATCTTACAGTCTTGCAGTGATACCCACGGAAGGAGCTTGATCCTATACTTAATTGTGACTTCAGACCTTCCCATGAATTTTTACTGTTGATACAGCAACCTTAACTACCCACGAAGACCAATCACCAGGAACATTCTTTAATGTTCGCTGAACAACATCTTATATCACAGCTTCTGATTTTATGACGGGGAGAATATTTCTGTATACCCTAAGCACGAACCAATATCGAATTCATGTCGTTTGCAAGTACGAAATGTCAATGACAATTTTTTTATGGAAACTTGAACAGCAGCGCCGTAACGGACGTAACGAGATCTATAAATCAGTACACATTTGACAATGCTAAGGGTACTGTTATACATTTCAACACAGAAACCTATTGACGATTATTATACACTTCCAGACACATCTGTTGGCCCACTTAGGCCCGTATTATAGAAAGATTCTCAGTGATTGAGCTAGCCTTGAGCATAATTAGAAAGGGATGTCGCTATATATAGCACATAGCGACATCCCTTTCTAACTGTACTCAAGTAAAGATCAACACTTAGTTGTCATTCTGTAATACGGGCCTTAGTATTTTAAGTTTTGACGGTCCCTAGCCAAAAATTAAAGAAACATTGAGCAAAAACTTATTACCTACTCAGTTTTGAACCTGATTTATTCAGCATCTTTCCGTGTGTTTTTAAAATAATCAAAGTTATAAAAATCCTTGCTAAACCATAAAAATAAATATTTTTGCTACAGCCTGTTGAAACTTATATCAGTAGGAGAGCCGATAGATGTGTCCGGAAGTATATTTAGCATTTAACTGATCGATGTTTAAATCAATAGATAAATGATTAATCTCGCGTCAAGCGAAGCGAGACCAATTATTGATTTATGTATAAATCTTAAGAAAATTTTACTTACTCGAAAAAAGTCAACTCGGTCCAGGTTTCAGACGGGATTCGAACGCGCATCTTCCGCTATCCTGACGGATGCACTAACTACTAGCTGACTTTTTTCTAATAAATCTTTCTTTAGAGATAAACCTGTTGATGATTTCTCTGAAGACCACCAAAAGAAATCGACACCGGGTAATTTCTTCAAAATGTAAAATAAAATCCTTTGAACCCGACCGTCCAAGTGGCAGGCGAGCTTTCTACCATTGAGAACAACCGTTGCTTGTTGATAAGGGTTGGTGTTTTAGCCCGTTTTAAGATAGAACAATGGTATGTTAAGGCATCGTTACATAGGCCCCCCGTAGGCCATAGCCTGACGCCCTAGGTAGTCATTACGGCAGCCACTGGGGGAATTTAATACAAAGCACAACGACCTCAGCAGAGCCACCCAAATGATAGGCCTTAAAAATAACATTAGAAAATTATGTGTAACGCTTATATTCCGCTCCACACGGTAAACGTTTGTAAACTCTGCAGTATATTTTGTTTGATTTTTACGCACGGATCTGATGTAGATCCGCGCGAATCTATATGGGAAATGCGCTGGTCCGATGTGGATCAGCGCGTGAAAATTTTACAGAATAGCACTGCTGTAGGTACTATTTTTTTTGCGCTCTGTCACTTGGCGGAATTTTGCGCTCTGTCACTTGGCGAACAAAATGCTTTGAACGGTTTTCTACAGTAGTTTTTACTACGCCCCGCCTTCGCGTCGGACGCGCCGATCCGGGCCGCCGCGCCGCGCGAGCGATTCATTCACAGAGAGCATTTCATTGATTGCATAATGAATTGAATTGCATTTATTTTAGTTGCAATTTGTCATCCGCATCGCGACAGCGCTATACGAAAAAGTAAGACAGCGATAATTACATGTCTATGAATGAACTTTTACTACGCCGCTACCGCAAGCGATTATGGCATTATGGGTGACAGAGCGGTTCTTTCCGCGAGTGTACTCGAAATTGACGACAAATATATATCTGGGACAAAATAGTCCACAACCACCGAATCCAACTCGACTGGGCAGCAGGAAACTTCACGATGTCTTCTCGTCCAAAATTCCTCAGTGCCTGATGACCAAGGTCTTCGAAGGGTGCGTGTTGCCAGTTATGACATACGGAGTTGAAACGAAGTCGTTGACAATAAGCCTAATAAGAAGGCTCAGGGTCGCTTAGCGAGCGATATTGAGAGCTTTGCTCAGTGTTTCTCTACGTGATCAATCAGGCTCAGATTGCAGAACAAAAGGCAGATGGAGCGCACGGAATACGCAATGCGTGGCACCATAGCAAATACGAAGTCAAAAGCGAATATCAATTCGCGTCAGTACACTGCAACGCATCATGTTGTAAATACGTTCTGTGAATATTAAGGTTTTTATTAAAATGGTGCCACCTGATATTGTTTTAAAATTTTATGGTCACTAACATCATAGCTATTAACGGAATTGTTACCATGTAGGCAGAGGCGGCGTAAGGCATGGGCGACGTAGGCCACCGCCTACGGCCTCGCGGTACAAGGGGCCTTGCGCCCCAAAAATTTTTATGCATTGCTTAAAAGTGAATTTCTTTTTTTTATTATGTTATAAAATCCGTCTTCAGGTCGCCACAGAACAGGGCCTCGCGAAATCTGTCTTGCCCACATCAAATTAAGGTCTTACCCCGCCACTGCATGTAGGTACCTTGTTTTTTATGAGTCTCTCTGTAACTGAGTTACTCCGTAATCATGGCGCTTGCAACAGTGCCGAAATATCGAAGACTCACGATAAAAGCCAGTGTGCCAGCCAGCTGTGCCACTTTGTTCAAACATTGTAAAAACTGTTCACAAAGACAAAAAAAGTCTTTACTTTTGACTTCGTATTTGTTTTGGTGACACGCAATGCGTGTACCGTGCGCTTCAATCCATCTGCTTTGTTCTGTAATCTGAGGAGTCAGAAATTTGTTGTTTCGTTTGTTTTTACAGACGTAAAAGGTAAGGTAATAAGGTAAAATTTCATCGGGATCAATAAAAATGTTTGGGACAAAAATAGATTTTTGTAAAGTTAAAATTATTATTCCTTTTTTCTTTTTGTGTTATAGGGGGCATACGAGCAGACGGCTCACCTGATGGTAAGTGATCACCGTCGCCCATGGACACTTGCAACAGCAGGAGTATCACAAATGCGATGCCGGCCTTTAAGGAAGGAGTACGCTCTTTTTTTGAAGGTTTTTGGGTCGTAGTGGTCGGGAAACACTGCTGGCGACAATATATTCCACAGTTTTGTCGTATAAATTTTATTATAACGTAAGGAAAACGCTACGCCAATTTTCAATTGAAAGTATAGCAAGAGCTGAAAGTCGAACTTGTATGACACAAGTTCGACTTAATATTTTTTAACCGCGATAAACTTCTTTCTGTTTATGCAAATGTTAAGGTTTATTAACGTCGCCATAATTATTTAAAATGTTTTGTAGTTTTTGAATTGCACAAGCTCTTCGCCCTCACACAACAACAATAAAAAAAGATTTGGTTTGTTCTGCAAGGGCGCTGGACCCAGAGATTTTAACCGCCCCTCCTAAGTCCGCCTCTGCTCCAAGTGTTCTCATTAAATAACAAAAAAATGTTCGCAATAAATAACAGTTTATGTACCAAAATGATCACCATACAATGTGTAGATAGACGGACAGTGTTCTTTTGCCAATATATCATACGGCGAATTCTTTTGTACTTTATATTTCCGAGTGAGAGCATTCCATAAATGGTGAACATAGGTCTTCCTTCTGTTTGGTATTTTGGCACCAGCTTTGAAGTACATTTTGTTCTGTTTATAGAAGACGGGATAAAATACTTCTGGTTCGTACACTGTAAAACCTGAAAAAAATAAATAAATATGGGTTGATCTCAGATTGTCTAGTCGCAGTGTCACTAACCCCTATTAATGACTATAACGCAAAATGACTACCAATCATTTGGTATAAATCTTTAATGGGCATGACGACGGGGTAAAGTAAACGAAATTCTACTTAGTTCGTCAGTTACATGATCAAAAAATAATGGACATGTATTTTTTCTGTGGGCAATCAACCAAAAAATGACAAAGATACAGCGCGTCAAAGTTTGGGAGTAGGGGCTCGTGACATCACTTTCACAAAACGTGACGTCATCGTCATGCGACTTTTCAAATCAATATATCTCTGCAATGTTTATATTAAATTATTAAGGTGAAAAAAGAAAAAAATACGTGTCCAATACTTTTTGATAATCTACCTGGGGGCCAATCGCCTAACGGAAATGCTTTGGGAAACGCTAACGCTTACGATTTTATATTGTTATTTCTAGCCGCCTGAGGTTTTCGAATACCTCACGTTCATTTTTTTTAATATTGTTATTACCAATGCTAAAGAAAAAGAAAGAGCGCGAGGCATTTGAATACCTCAGGCGCCTAGAAATAACAAAATAAAATCGTAAGCGTTAGCGTTTTCCAAAGCAATTCCGTTAGGCGATTGGCCCCCTGATAACCGAAGAAAAAAATTTTGTCATCATCCGTATTGACTGCATCGCATAATGCCTAAGATCGCAAAATGACTAGATCTTTATTCGACCACATGAAATAATGACTACATCGTAAAATGATTACATCATTACTTGACCACATCTTACAAGGACTAGGTTGCAAAATGACTAGACAGGTTGATTGGCTACATACACTAGTACAGTTAAGTATAAAATCTGTATAAATAAAAAAAATATGTAGGTATGTCACCAGGCTGTATCTCATGAACATATGAAGTATAGACATTCATAAGTGCTTTTAACAGACTAAACTAAAAAAAATATTAGTAATTACGAAAAAGAAATTAGTCATAATTTTTATTTTTTAAGCATGTAACTGCGCGTGGATTTTTTCTAGTTATATTTTCTTTAGATTTTACCATCAAGCACTTACATGCTTAAAAAATAAAAATTATAAATAAATTGCTATTTCTTCTTTCAAATGTTTATTACTTGTAAAAGTATTCATTTGACATTATGGATTACCTACAATGCGAAGAAATGACGCTGCCTTGCAGCTTAACAATGGCTAAAAGAATTTCGACGCGGCCGTCAAGGGCCACGGTAGCATAATTGGTCAGTGCATTCGCCCGGATTGCGAAGGGTGCGGGTTCGTATCCCGTCTGCTGCCTGGTCCGCGTGGAATTTTTTCTAGTTATATTTTCTTAAGAAATTAGTCACCAAATCTCTTTGTTCTAATAAGAATCGTTTCTATAACAATACTTAAACAAACATACCATTACACCCTCTGTTCCATTCCTTCCCTTTAGCCTTGCACATTTGTTTCAATACCCGTGTTATAACACCGGGTCCATTGTTACCCCACACCTTAGGTCTGTAATTTTTTCTAAAATCCCTGAAAACGTCACAACAAAACTTGTGGTTTAGCCCTGCACTGCTTGATTTAACATGAATTCCATAAGTACCTAAGTAAAAAGTCAAATTAAGTCCGTTGGTTTTTTGCCGAATCCGTTTTCGGTATCTACAAGGTCATGGGTTCTATTCCGCTCTGGTAATTCAATTCAATTCAAATAATTTATTTCAGAACTAAGTTCCATAGTGTTAGTTACATTTGATTTATTTATAAATATGTTAGTACCTACAATAGAGAATTACATAAAATATTATTTGAAATAGTATTACAGAATATGGAGCTTCACCCAGTGTCGTAGCAAAGGTGTCCCACCGGTCATTAAATACTCTCAGGAGGCTGTTGGTACTAGAGAGGGGCCTAGGGAGCATTGAAGCGGACCTCTTTCTTTAATTTGACTTTCGTAATGTAGACAAAGTATTTATCATCATTCATCTCTATTTTGATATGCACGTGCATATTGCACACGTGCAATGTGCATTTCTGTAACTTTTTCGTTGTTGATTCAACGTGCTAAGTACCTAGGTATCCAATTCCCTCGGAATTGGAGATCGGAAGCCCAAGCACGAATTTTGACGGCTCCATAATCGTATCGTTAAATTTTGTATTGAAAAAGCTAGATTGTTCTTGCGTCCTTTGTTTTTGTAGAAACTTTCTGTGAGCTGTCAAAATTCGTGCTTGGGCCACTGATACGCATGTACGAATTACTGCAGCTTTTTCATTGCTAAGTACTTAAGTATATCCCTTAGAATCGGAGACAACAGCTATATAGTTTTAGTCTTTTGTGGTTGGCGTCCACAAAAGACTAAAACTATATAGCAATCAATTTTGAATTACTGTGAGGTTTCTAATGCCTACTTTAATCAAAACAAATGTTTTCGAAACAAACAGTTTTAGAAAGATAAAACTCACTCAATAGTTGCATTTGCGATCTGCCTTCCTAAATCGTCTCTAGAAAAAGATAGAACTCCTGCTGCCACCCATTTCTCACTTTCCCTCCCCGCAAAATTGCTGCCCAAAGAGTCCAAAGACTTCACCACCACTACATCAGAGTCCATGTACACTCCACCGTACTTGAAAAGCGTGAGATATCTCAAAACGTCTGAACTGTGTTCTATACGCCACTTGCTCTTCTTATAGGGGCTCGCTGCCACCATATTCTCCAGAGGGGTCCCTCTCGCATAATCTGCTATATGGATCCTAAGTAACTTCACATTCTTGTAATCGACCAACTTTGAGAGACAACTCCTTCGCAGTACCGGGTCAGATACTGAACCACTGAATAACACGTGCACGTCCCAATGAGGGTTGGATTTTGCTGCTGATTCAACAGCACATGCTTGTCTAGAAGTCAATCCTCCTCTACAGGACGTTTCCACGAAAAATATAGATTTCTCCGGCGGTCTGAACGTATCGTCAACGCTGGCCAGTGCGTCTCCTTCCTCATTGGCATGGCAGGATATGTCTTCGGTCAAATTCCAGCGGATTATGTAGAGTTCGTTTGTCGGCTTATTTTTTGATAGATACACTAAAATCAATGTGATAGTTGCGCTTATAAGGGCAGAGTACTTGCACGCGATTCTGTACTTATTGAAATAATACATTACATCGATCTGAAAAAAGGGAGTTTCATTTACTTGCTATTTTAGAAATTCACGGATTTTCTGCCTTATTAAGTATAAGATAAAACTTACTTGTGATTAAATCATCGTCGATATAAAATACTTCTGGGTTTTGGACATTTAAAATGAAAAGGCTCGGCACTTTTGTATTGGACATAAATGACTACTGAGGGTTACATTTAAACACTACCATTTATCAGTCATCATAAGGTAAAAACACCATTTATCGACCATAAATATGAGAAGATTATAGGTACCAATAATAAAACAAGAGCTCTTAAATTGTTAAAAAAAAATCTTTATTATAATTATAAACGATTTTACATCTTTCACTTAACCCTCTACTGCATGAATTATGAAGGAAACGATAAAAAAAATATTTGATGGTTATTGAGCGTTTATTTACTGATAAGATTTACTACAGAAATGAAATTTGAAAAAAAACGGTTACAGGAACTGAAAAAAAAATTAAGACCATATATGGGTTCATATGCATTCAAACAAATTATAATCAAAATTACTAGTGACATATATGGGTTTCTATGAAATAAAGAAATAATTTGAGCTTGTAGTATCTCGCACAATAGTTTCAGTATTTATCATGAAAATCTGATAAACAGTTCCGTTTGTCGTTGTAACATAGAAAACCCATACATTTTTTACATTTTGTGTAAGTTTTTGACCGCAACATTGACATTTTTGTCGGTTTTTCATCCATTCCGGCATATGGTCTATTTTGTCCGTTCTTACAGAGTTCAACGGCAGTTCTTGGTGTCTGACAGGAACTTTCCTTATTTTACTTGGACGATTGGGTGTTCCTGGATTAGATGAAGCAGGACTTCCGAGGCCAGTAAAACTTATAGGCGTTCCGTCTCTGCTTTGATTACAGGGACGTCCTCTTTTTCGAATACTTACAGCTTTACCTGATTTGAGTAAGTGTTCTGAAACTGCTTGCTTAAAATCAAATAAAGGCATGTAATTGTTTGGATTATTTCTGCGCCAAAGAATCCAAGCATTCACAATACACATATCCACCATGTGGAAAAAAATTCGCTTATACCATTTTTTGGATCTCAAGTGTTAGCGGGCTTGTTTATGTTGTCTTGTAAAGATGTCAAATTAGATTGATTGGTAATAGTTTCTAGCAAATCTTCAGAAAATAAAAACACAAAATAATCTGCCGGTGTTTCAAGTTTTTCAAAAAATTCCGGTAATTGTACGATTCCAGTAAATTTGAAATTCTTTACATCATAAGCCTCTATTTTTTTTGTTTCCCATTTTATTGCGGTAGCCTTATTTTTTTTGCCTTCCCTTTCTTTTGTGTGGTTGGTGCAGGGCTAGTTTCTTCATCAGAAGAATCGCTATCAGTTTCGAGGATAACAACAGATCTTCTGTGACGTTGGTATTGTCTAGGAGGAACATATTCGCTGTCGGAATCGGAAGCTAAGGCATCATCACTTATCATACCATCTCCAGGTAAGGGATTAACATGTTTATAAGAGCCATAAAAGCGAGCAGGATCCATTCTGCAACCAAGGAAAAGCCATCCAGCACATCACACAAAAAACTGATAATGCATACGAAACCATATATGGTTCACAGAAAAAAGGCAAAGTTTGGTAAGAATGCATGCGAAACCATATATGGTTTCGAAGAAAAAGTCCTTCAGTATGATAGAAATATGCAAAAAAGCTATAAAAAACTAAAACATTATTCAAATAGAATAGTAATAGCACCATATTTTATTTTTTTATCAAGCAAAACTTACCTTTATCATGTAGATAAACTTTTTTGAAAAATGAATTTGCAGACACTGTGTTGAACTTCGCACCCGCGCTGATACAAGTGAGGTTATAACGGAATTGACGTTTGACCACAGACAACAAAATATTATTTTCGTATTACCAACATATTAATCTTAAGGTAGACGATGCGTTTAGTTAATGTATTAGAATTATTACGAAGAAAAAAAAAACTAAAGTTGAAGAACCATATGTGGGTTTGTATGCGGTAGAGGGTTAATTTGGGTCAGATGCAAAAGGAATTCTGTATAATATCTAAACTAAAAAGTATGACAAAAAGTATCAACATCTTATTAGACTCTAATTTTTTGTGACAATTTCATGAAATAAATGATAAAAATATGAATTATGTTGCTCGAAATAAATGAATTTTATTGTATTGATTACCAATAATTTCGGCCTTAACTGACTATGATAAATTATACAAGTATGAAGAGTTTGCAGATTATTTTAACAAAAAAAACTATACTTATAGAAATATATAATAAATATAAATAAAAAAATTGTGTAAGCAATCTTCAAAATAATACCTAATTAAAACGATTGTAACCGACCAACGTCAGCGTACTTACCCTAACATATACAGTAGGTACAGGAAGCTGATTCAGATAACGAGCACAGTCAGTGTAAATTTTAAAAAGTTTAGTGAGTGTTTTAGCCAGTGGTTTGGGTTTTAAAAATCGCCAACAGTGTATAGACCTAAGAAGGATTGAGAATTATGTTGAAGTAATTCGTAGATCTAAGTACAGATGCAACATGGTGGTGTCCCTCAGGGTAACATACTGGGGCCACTATTTTATTTATACTAGAAATGCTTTAGTCTTGTTTTAAAAATGAAGTAGAAAGGATCTCATAACTGTTATAATACACTAAGCGGGCCGGAAAAGTGTAGATATGTGTGTGTATACATTATTAAAGATATTTTTTTGTCATTACTTTTTTAATTTATATTCCGAAAAGTGGCCAGTATAAATATCCTTGAAATTTATTTTTAACATTATGCTGTTTGCATTATTAAACTGAGTTTTTAATTTGTTTTCCTATCTTCTCGAGACGGCGTATAGTAATGATAATGAAGATTTATCGACACCGCCAGACTTGCCAGACAAAACTGATAATAATACTATTTTGTTTGTTGATCTACTTTCATGCCTTTCATGGAACACTCTTTTTAAGCCTTTTTAAATATTCGCGGAATACCGTGTAGGGAGCTCATTTTAATATTTTATTGTCCGTGGAATAAAGATCTCTGGTAACGAACAGTTGTGGACTTCAGAGTTCCCTGGCAAGAACTTGTCTCCGCTGACGGGTGGTGCGGTGCTTAGAATATTAATTGGAACAATTTCTCGGTAAAGTGTTCAGAGCTGCTGTCGTCAATAACGAGTTTAATGCTCCTGTAGTCAACGAATCTACTTGCAAAGCTACTCAGATAGCCCGTAATATGACTTCTTCCTTCTATAAAAGCTTCGATAAAAGCGTTCTATGCCAGACCCTGTCAAACGTCTTGACGATATCCAAGCTCACTGCAAAGGCCTCACCCTTACTCTTGACGGTTTCAGTCCAAAATTGAGTGAGTTAAACTAAAAAATCACCAGCCAAACGACCGTGGCGGAAACCCTTTTGTCGATTAGCTGATGCTTCATAAGCCTCAAAAGGCGTGTGGTAATCACCCGCTTCATCATCTTAGAGAGCAGGGATATAATCGCAATGGGTTTGTAATTTAAAGGATCAGACGGGTCACCCCTTTTGAGAATAGGGTGGACGTGAGCTACCTTTCACGAAGTTGGAACGAGGTTTTGTTTGTAGGAAAGACGATACAAGCGCGTCAAGATGAGGTAAGCTTAAGGGCGCATAATTTGAGTACCACGGTAGGGATGCCGCAGGCCCACACGACACGTGAAGGTTTAAAAAAGTTCTCGCTGAACCGCTTGCTAGGTCATGTCGATGGGGGATTATTGGAGGCGTAGTTTCCCCGAGTTAGATGTAGAGTTTAAACAGAATGCCGGCCTTATCCTTCCAGACCAGAAGACTTAGACCAGAAACAGGCAGAACCAAGTGAACCACAGCACGAGATCGATAAATCGAAGAAAATCGATACTTGGTGAACACCATGCTTCGAAATCGCTTCCTCACAGGAACTGAAATTACAAATCAGTTTCGACTAGCTAGCTAGCTTGAAACCAGTCAGACCTACAAATGGCCCTAAACTGGAGCGTGGCCATCGTATTTTTAAGACTAAGATATGTCCAGAACCACGTAAATTGGACTATTGATGATTGGTCAAAAGTTATGTTCTCCGACGAATCAAAATTTATGCTCTACAAGCACGATGGAAGACACAGAGTATATAGAAGACCTGGGGAAAGATTCAAGCAAGCATGCATCAAAGAAAAAATAGACTACGGTGGTGGGTCTGTACTTGTGTGGGCCGGAATTTCTTCTAAGGGTCGCACAGAACTGGTATTCATAGATAATGTGGAAGAAATCTTGAATGAACACGTTGGTCCATTTACGGTCAATTTGGGTGCGGATCCTATTTTTATGTACGACAATGCCCGACCTCATGTAGGTTGGATTGTGAATGACTACCTTCAAGAGAGGAACATTACTCGTATGGAGTGACCAGCACACAGCCCGGATATCAACCCGATCGAGCATGCTTGGGACGAGCTAGGGAGATGCGTAAAACAACGAAACCCTCCCCCAATTACGTTTCGTGAGCTCAAAATTGTCCTCACAGAGGAATGAGAGAATATTCCCCAAAATAGTATAAGAAACTAGGTATACAGCATGCAAAACCGGGTAAACGCAGTAATGGAATCACGAGGAGGCCATAAATACTAAGTATTCAAATTAATGACAATCGTAATGTTGTTCAAAAATGTCATGTCTCCTATTTTCGTTTTAAGGTGATATCAGCCAGTTTTTTTCTTTATGTATTTTTCTGTAAATAAAATGACGTTTATGGAGTATTTCATTGTCTATTAAACAAAATTTATTTCATTTAAGCTAGCATTCTTAGTTTGCGAGATTTTTAGGATTCTTTATCTGACCCGGATTCATTGCCCTCGAGTGTATTTTATTTCCATTGGGCTATGATCCCGCTGGTATAGATGTGCAAAAAGTTTATTTTTATTATTTCTATGTACTTTCTTTACTGATTGCCGGCTGCCCGTATACATACGTATAAGGAATGAGCGGATATCCTATTTCAGTAGAAGGTAGACAATAAAGAATACACAGCACAGACGATTCAGTGTTCATAGGTTTTATTCAAAATCCTCCCGATAAATTCTATAGACAGTAGGACAGTATTTCTTGACTAACACTTCGTATAATGAGCCGTTGACTGCTCTACAATTTTGCGTGACGTGATTCCAGATATGGTAGACGTATGCATCTGGAGTCGGTAACTCCCCTACTTCAAAGTATGCCTTTCCCCGCTGCCATTCAATGGGATAGAAGAGTCTCGGGCCGTACACTGCAAAACCTATAATCCAAATAGCGATGTGTATATAAACGGTTATATTATTTGGTACGATCGAACCAAATGTAGGGCGGGTCTGTAAAATAAAATCTCACTTCCGATTTTGGTAGCTGCCACAGAGCAACTTGTAAGGGAGCATCTATAGCAATACCATTCAAATCATTGTCATTTTTTGCGGGAGGATTTTACACACAAACGCAGTTTGACGTACACGCATATAAAACAAAACTTTAATTACGACACTCAATAAACAGTGACACAATATATCGCTAAATCCAGCGGGTCAATTATGCTTTAGTGATATAATACTAATGTGATGTCAATATGATGTTGATGCCAAGTTGACAATGGTTTTTAACTTGTATTATGAAACATTCCTATGTCACATCAAGATCATATCAATATCATTAAAATTTCCTGTAGTTATCACATTTTTGACGTTTATGCGACACTGTTTTATATCAAAAAGTTGAACGTAATACGCATTTAAGTTGATATCATTTTAAAGAGTTGATCGTAATACGCATAAGTTGATGTCTAGTTGATGTCATTTTGATATCGCATTTTTCATTACATAGATACAAGATCCTATTTTCCAGGAAAAAGATAGGTTCCTATGGAATTCTAAAAAAAGCTAACTTATTATTTATAACGCGGACGAAGTAGCGTTTTTAAGCTAGGCAGTAAATAATGCGCACAAGTAACTCCTTATTGTCTATATTTTGTATCCCGAGTTTATGTAACCCGAATTTGTTGGCTCTCAATGTGAAATCTTAGCTTTTTAAGTTGCAAATATACTTACTGACCATTACATGTGGCTGCTGACATTTTGCTAGCCTCCGAGGTGGAGCACGCCTCCTTCAGAACTCTCGTTATCACGCCTGGGCCGTTGTGGCCCCAAACATCCCCTCTGTAGTTACGGACCAAGTCTCTGAAATTTTCTTACACATATTAGATAGTACTTATTTATCATCATCATGGGTCTGGGGCACAGATCTTCTCTATGGATGGAATAGGGAGATTGGATTGATGATCCACCATTCTGGCATACCACCACCATCATACGCAGCCGGGACCAACAGCTTAACGTCTCTTCCGAAGCACAGAGGAGCTCGAGATATTAAGTTTTGGATACCCATTCAATGACCGACCCAGTGTGGATTGATGGTTGCTAAAGTTGATTATTTTCCACGATCACCGAATAAGAATAATCATGATAAAAATGTCTAGAAGCTAAGCCATCGATTAGTAAGTCTACGGCGGGAGAACTTGTACTGAGAAGAACCGGCAAGAAACTCAGCAAGGGCTGTTTTTTCTCCCTGTTTTATTATTTACAGAGTCATCAAGTTGAAAAAGCTATCAACCTGCAACATCGAGCTCCTCCGATACCTAACTATACCAACCTATTACTTACATCTTGTTGGGAAGCATTAAAAGTTTAAACCATATTATAACACTTCTCGCCGTGCCACTAAATTTCATTCAAAATCATGGTTCATAAGTTGTTCATAAGACTAAAATGTTATGTAAGTTTAAAAACGTGTATAAGGCCCGTGGAGCTCGATGGCGCAAGTGGTTAGCGCGTTCGGCTGCGATCGTTGAAGTTAAGCAACTTTCGCAGTGGTCGGTCATTGGATGGGTGACCAAAAATTACTATCTCGAGCTCCTCCGTGCTTCGGAAGGCACGTTAAGCCGTTGGTCCCGGCTGCATCTGCAGTCGTTAGCACTCACCAATCCGCACTGAGCCCGCGTGGTGGGTCATGGCCCAATCTCCCTATTCTATCCATAGGGAAGGCCTGTGCCCCAGCAGTGGGGACATTAATAGGCTGATGGTGATGATGATGATAAGGCCCGTGTTCCCACCTGCAAGAAAACTTCTGCGAGAAATGACCGACAGCAAATAATAATAATAAATTCTTTATTTATTTCTTCACATAAGTAGAAATAAAAACGCTTATAATGAAATGCTTAATTACAATATTTTATTATTTATGTGAAGACTGGTGCTTGCAATAGGATAAACCTGATCTAAGGCTCCACTCCCACAACTACATGAACAGAGCAAGCCAACTTGTACCATTTATCTGATCAATGTATTCATTAATATAGGAAAGAAAACACAATAATAAAAATAAAATAAAAAAGTAAATTTGTGTGTGTGTGCGTGTGTGCGCACACACACACAAATTGTATTTATATTTAACGTTTTCCGTAATGTTTGAAGTATTCTTGCAGGTGGAAACACGCCTTACACGTTTTATTAGTGCTCCAATAAAATTTACATCTGGAAAGTCTAAGGAATCAGAATCAGAAATTATTTATTCAACACAAGCCTTTACATGCACTTATTGACGTCATCTATACAAACAAGAGGAAATGCTCTCTAATAGGCAGACGAGTCCATAACGATCGCCTTACCACAAGGTATATACCAGGGGCGGCTGAAAAGTTTTGAGCCTCAGTACCTTTAACCATCACTAATGAGTTGTGCTATACACCACTAATTGAGGGTATTCTAAATAATATAAAAACCAAGTTTCATGTCATTAGCATCATTACATTTTTAGTAATTGAACCTTAAACATCACCATGTCTGACTCATCAGCGCTTTCTACGAAATTGGAGTACAGAGCTGTCATAAAATTCCTCACAAAGAAAAACAAAACGCCGACGGAAATATTTGAAGAGATGTCTGCAGTTTATGGGGAATCAGCACCTTCGTGTGCCACCGTAAAACGTTGGAGCCGTGAATTCAAACACGGCAGGGAGTCGCTTGAAGATGATCCCACGTCGGGACTCCCGAACACCGCCGTTACCGAAGAAAACATTAAAAAAGTGAAAAAAGTTGTTCTGGAAGATCGGCGAATCAAATTGTGGCAGTTAGCTGAAGCCATAGGCATTAGCAAAGAACGAATCGGTGATATTTTGCATAATCATTTGCACATGAGAAAGGTGTGTGCGCGGTGGGTGCCGAAAATGCTCACGCCGCTTGACAAACAGCGTCGCGTCACAACTTCGGAGGAGTTTTGGCGATAATCCCGACGATGTTTTTTCTCGCCTTGTTACTGTTGATGAAACATGGATTAGACAATACGATTCGGAGTCCAAACAAGAATCAATGCAGTGGATAGAAAAGGGAGAAAGCCGCCACGGAAATTCAAAGTGGAAAGATCGGATCATCCAAGCTTATGGCTACTGTTTTTTGGGATTGTGAAGGAATTTTGTTCATCGACTATCTTCCCAAAAATACTACGATGAACGGCGTCTATTATGCCGCATTGTTGACGGTTCGCCAAGTGATTGTCGAGAAAAGGAGAGGCAAACTGGCAAAAGGAGTCCTGTTTTTGCAAGACAATGTGCCCGTCCACACTGCTCGAGTTGAAATAGGCTTTGAAGAAGTAAACCACCCACCCTACAGTCCAGACCTGGCCCCCAGCGACTATTTCCTTTTTTCCAATTTGAAAAAGGTCCTCCGAGGACGAAGATTTTCAAGTGACGAGCAAATGAAGGCGGTCGTAAATGAACATTTTGAAGGCAAAGTCGGCGAATATTTTTTTACCGGGTTAAAACTTAGATTAAAACAAAAAGGGTAGATACGGCACTAGCCTCACAAAAGTGATCCGCACAAATTGTGGTCCACGACCCTAATCGCTTTAGTTACAACTTGACATGCAAACGACGTACATGTGAACGCCAAAAAGAAATATTGATAATATTTTGTGTTTATATGATAACACAATGCCTAAGTATGTTTTTAAAAAGTGCTCAAATTACTCAAGAACTAAAAATAAAACCCACGGCATCACTATTCATTCGTAAGTACTATAAAATATATTTTTTCATAAAAATTGCTGTTTGTTTTGTATCTTATTCGGTAGTGACGTCGAGTACTGGTCGCGCGATTGGTGACGCAGTGACGCGGATCTCGCCGTCTCGTTCGCGCTGCCGTTGAAACTTAACGTGCTGTTTCGCTCGGGTCGGTAATGCATTGACGCGGATCTCGCCGTCCCGTTCGCGCTGCCGTGGGATCAGTTTTTGTTTGATGCAAGTATGAGCGTACCGTATCTACCCTTTTTGTTTTAATCTAAGGGTTAAAAGCTCTTTTTAATATGTAAATGTAGGAAGTGCATTGAATTAGAGGGAGATTATATTGAAAAATATTTTTGTTATACATTTCTATCATCATTTTTAATACCTGAGGCTCAAAACTTTTCAGGCGTCCCTCGTAGGTAGGTTGTAGTGAAAGTTTTTCTATGGTTGAATAAACAAAACTACCAAAAGAGTATAGTAATTATAATGTCACCAATTATCCTGTTCATGCCACAAATGGAGATCGTATCTGCTTTTCAAATAGGTTCACGAAATATATTACGTATACGATTGATTGATTAGGATAGTCGTCATTATATTGCTCGCATTTATGTCCGTTTTTGGATTGGATTTATAGGAGTTCGGTAGCAAAATATGGTAAAAAAATCCCTTAGGCCCATTTTATTAACTATTTACGAAAGGAATTTTTTTTATTACCTTTTTCCTAACTGGTTATGAAATAAGAATATTTTTTTCCATTTTCATAATTAGTTAAGATTAATAAACAATTAAGAAAATTAAAAACAAAAGTTATTTATTATCCAGTCAAGAAAATTTCAATAAAAATGTCATATCCGTAGTAATGTAATTTACTTTTATTTCTCGATTGATAAACAAGAACCCATCTTATTCCACAACCAGTTAGAAAAAAGTGAATATGAATTCTTCTTTCGTAGATGGTTGAGAAAATGGACCTAATTAAAAAAATCATGTCAAGATCAAAATGTTGATCAAGACGTGGCAATTAAATATCTCTCACTCCTTCACCTCACCTGATGTTAACTCCACTTTAACAGACGTGTGATTTGCGCGCTACCCTAAAAGTCTTACCTCAACTCTTTTCTGTTCTACAATACTAATAGGTAGGCTTAAAGATTATAGGTATCATGATAGTAGATGCAAATGGGCGGGGCATATTGTTTGGCGAAGCGATGGACGTTGAGATGCCAAGGTGCTTCAATGGCAATCTCGCACCGGGAAACGCAGTGTCGGTAGACCTCTCACCAGGTGGACTGACGACATCAAGCGAGTCGGGTGGACCCACTCGATGCGGAAGGCGCAGGATCGTTGTGTTTGGAAATCCCTATAGAAGGCCAACGTCCAGCAGTGGGCGTCCATCGGCTGATTATGATGATAGTTGATGAAGTTGGACAATTAGCGTGTTGGTTTTCTATAAACAATATTATTGTCAGACACAAACCTTATCGTCGCTTCTGCCATCGTTCTCCCCACGCGGTCCCTCGAGAATGCCATTGCTCCCGCGGCAACCGAATCTTCACTCTCCCTGGCTGCCCAATTTCTCGCCAGGCCATTGAACGGTTTCGCCACCACGACATCGAGATCCAAATACACTCCGCCCCATTTGAATAGGGTCAAGTACCTTAGCACGTCAGAAGTGTGCGAGATACGCCACCTCGTCCTGTTTAGAGCTCCTTTGGCTACAAAGTCCTCCAAAGGAGTCCCCTTCGCATATTTCGTCAGATGAATCCTGTAGAATTTGACATTCCCTAACTCCTGAAGAAGCTTTTTAGACTTTCCAAGCGTTTCATTTGTTCCGGGCGCTGTGAACAGCACGTTAATGCTCCAATGAGGGTGGGCCCGAGCCGCAGACTCCACCGAGCAAGCTTGGCGGGAATCTAAACCAGCACCATTGCAAGATGTCTCATGAAAAAATACGGAACGCGCCGGGAATTCGAGATCATCAGCTGATGCCAACATGTCGTCGTCGTGGTCAATGTAGTGACAAGATACGTTCTCCAACGGCATCCAATACACGAGATATAAATCCGTTGCCCAAGAAGAGTTCATTAATGCTGTGGAAAACAAAGTGGTGAAGAGTAAAGCTGACAGCACGACCAGTATAGCCTTCCGGGGTTTTCTTATGTAGAATTTCCGCATCTTGGGAGTGAAAGTAAATCCCAAAGTTTTCATACATTCATAGTATACGTTTCTCCCATTTCAATCGACACTTGAAATAAAAGTTCGTGTGTCTCTTAGTAATATCACATACATTGCGTCTGATAGTCTAGAGAGGTCTTGAAAAAGTGCCCGTTAATTGGCCCACGATGAATGCCTTGGAAGCGGCTTTGCGCATAGTATGGGAATGGTTACACCTGCCAATGATGCAGTCGATACGTGTTATTAAACTAAGTCCTCGAAGAAAGGTTTTTAAAAATTAACCAGAGTTAGAACAATTTAACGAAGAATTATTTATGAAACTACTACGCTAAAAAGTTTCGATACTTTAACAATGATCAGGTAAATGTATTATATCGCGTCGAAAGGTATTTATGCACTGACGGAAAATAGGAAATTAGGTCGATGTCTGTAATAATAACGACATTATTATTGGAAATTACACTTGGCGTAAAACTATAATTTGGGATCGCAGGTTAAACACGATAGAATTTAATGGTATCTTTCGCGCGCTTGATGGAATACTGTCCAATTAGTAATTCGGTCAACTTTGAATAAAGGTTAACTAAAGGTTTGATGTACAGTTGTACACTATTTTAGGACACTGACGGTGCAGTGGTGGATCGGAATTTTCAACGATAATAAAGAAATATAGGTTCAAACTGAAATACCATTAAAACACCATATCAACATCGTATAACTTTTATTTGTTATCATTCAATAACTTATTGTTTAAATTACATTTTACAGTACCATTGTATTTGGATAAAAATAATCACTTAAATAGAGTCAATTATATATATTTATTTTTTTATTGGGACAAGCAATTATAAAACCAGGAACATTAAGTAAGATGCATATCATTAAGCCTTATTTGTGCATATGAATAACTGCTTATTTGGTTTACGTGTTTATGTTTATTTTAAGTACCTGAAAAAGGAAGCATTTTCATAATTAATTGAAACTGTGAAATGTGAATTATAAGCGGAAATGCATCCAAACTTAACGATTATTTAGTAAAATACACCACTAACATTAAAGTTCATACTTTTAAAATTATAATGTAGGTACAGGTCGCGGTACGTAACTCTAGCGCTGAACCAAACGCGGAGGGGACATCTGCGTATGGGTACGACTGGAGAGCCAAACGGCGCAATGCGGGCTTGCGTTGCGCCCGCGCACATCGTTTCCTCCCAAGGCATCTTAATTTTTACTTCTACGCATTAACGATCAGCGCTAGTTTCGTGCCGCTACTTAAATGGTAGATAACATTTTGAGTACCTACTTATGTAACAATATGCTCGATGGCAGTTTAGACTCACAATGTCCTATCATAGAATTTGTGATCAAAATTTTATAATTTTAATCTCCTACGTGCTTCGAAAGCTGCGTTAAGCAATAAACACAGACTGCATCTGCAACTAGGGTTGCAACCCGTACCTACTCTAAAAAAAGAGTATTGTCCTATTTTCTTCTACGCGTACTTTATAATCTCCGACGCCATTAAAGTACGCCAAAATACTCTCTTAACCAAGGGCAACTAATAAAAAAAAATATGCCATGTACTTTATATTTGTTATACCAAAAGGTGGCAACCCTATCTGCAACTGTTAAACCGCAAATATACTTGTCTATCATGTTGGAAATGTATTAAACCGATACCACAATGACGCGTCACGACACAACACGACAGATAAATATACCACTTCCAGACACATCTATCGGCCCACCTTTTATGTTTTGACGGTCCCTAGCTAAAAATAAATGTTACATTGAGCAAAAGGTTATTATTATAAGTCGCGGCACGAACCTCTTGCGCTGACCGTTATTGCGCAGAAGTAAAAATTAGTACAATAGTTTTCGTCAGCTCGCACTCTTACTAAGAGTACTGATTTTATTGTTTTCGTTTCAATACAAATAAACAGTGTTGAAATTCTATCATTAAATCTTAAATTCTTCTTAAATTTTAAGTATATTAGCGTCTTCTTAAATTTTAAGTATGTATATTTGGTTACTTTTCACCAAAATGGACATATAAACATAATTTACAATTACGAAAACTATGATAGTTTTCGTGAGCTCGAACTCGTACTACGGGTACTGTACTAAAATGTATCTAGATCACAACTTTGTAACCTGTATTCGCAATAAAGATTTGATCTAAACTTATTAGTATTAACACTAAGTGGGCCGTAACATGTTTCTGGAGATATTTTGCGGCTTAGCCTCCAACAGTCCGCATTGGGCCTGCGTAGAGAACCATTAACCCGATCTTCCTGTTCTTTCCATATGGAAAGCCTGGGGCGCAGAAGTTAATAGGCTGATGTCTGAACCTTCAATGCTTATATCACAATCAGTGCCCCTATGACCCCCGTTTGGTGATTTAACAGGAACTGGGGACTTTGTATTTGATCTGAGGGAGGGCCCTATCAATCGCGGGGCCCTGGGCACTTGCCCAAAGTGCCCACTGGGAAAGAGGAGTCTGATCACAATAAAGATGTCACAACTGTGCTAGTCTACATGTTAAGAACTTTAATGTTATTTGCATAAAGCACTATTTCAAATAACAGTGATTTGCAAACCGATTGATACGCACCCTTCCGAACATCACATCGCTACTTATGCATATTTTTATAATTATAAAAGCTTATTATTGAATATTTTATGTTTCATAATAACTTAAATCCCAATATATGTACAAACTAACATTACTTTGGAAGGCATCATACATAATGCATTACACTAATAGTTACACTACATCTAAACCAAATCTTTGTACCCTAACACATTCCCTTGTGTATCAGTTACTCAATTATAACCGTACTAATTTCAAACATAAAGGTACGGAGATATCCTACATCTTTTCATCTCTCTCTATCGTAAAGAAGCTGCTAATTTTAGCAACAGTACCCTTAGCACGAACCAATATCGAATTAGTAACGTTTGCAAATCAAAATGTCAATGTCAAATTTTGTATAGAAACTTGAACAGCAGCGGCACAAAGTACGTAACGAGAACTAAAAATCAGTACACATTTGACAATGACATTTCGGACTCTCAAACGATACGAATTCGATATTGGTTCGTGCTAGGGGGACAGGTTGCATTACTCGACTTATATTTACACATGTGTGTGTGTTGTAATCATAGAACAAAACGACTGACGCGGCCAGGAGGGGAGTAGCCATAGTGACACAATACTTAAATTTACTTGAAATTATTCTCCCAATTTTTGTGGGGAAGGAATATGCACACAAATGCAGTCCAACATACTTTCGCAAAAACTAAATTGTAATTACGACACTAACACATAAAAAATGACAACACTAAATCGTGCATAGATGAAACTCAACATTTTTTATTGACAGATCTGAAATTTGTGTGGCGCATAGATTGTTTTGTCAAACAAGTCAAACGATTGAATTTTAACAAAATAATATGAATTTTGTGTTTAAAAGTAGTTTAATAGAAATAATATCTTCTATAATATATTGTCACAAACGCTCTCGAAACGGAACCGCGAAAGTGCTAGAGATCGAATGTGCCAGAGCACCACGGGTCGCGATAGAGGTCGAGCAATGCGGCTCATTCTAAAATGAGCCTTACGCAGTGCGGCGGTAGGGAGAAAGTGCAACGACATCTGCACTTGTTTACAAGTTATGCGCGTTATCTGCGTAGGTATAAGTAGGTACTTTGTACTCGCGGGTGCTAGCTAATTCTCAATTTAACAGGTACTTTCTAGAATGCGTCGATCGGCGTATATAAGATTTCGGAGCGAATCCAAGGGTGATCAAAGTGCAACAAAAGTGTTCAAGTGCGATTGTTTAGAGACTTGTATAGTGAAATACAGTGTTTAGTAAGTGTTTTGTAATTAACATTGTGTGTTAATTGTGTGAACTGTGCGGTGAATAAAGAACTGTCAAGCGTGAACTGGCATATAATTTCGAACCCCATCCCGACACGTAACAATATCTAACATACACTCGCGCGACTTGACTCAGTCTAGTGAAAAATCTGAGCGCAACTAGTTTTGTTCATGAGCTGGCCCAAGAGCGGGGAAAAATTGGTAGAGGGGAGAGCTGCGAATGCCTGCGAATACCCTCTAAGCTGCTTAGCGCGAAGCCGCGGGATCCCCGTTTAGGGATTCTTCCGCACCTAGCAGCCTCCCGGCCTAGCCGGGGCTCCACGGCAGGGGCCTCCCGGGGTATTCGGGGGGACCCCGCAGACGTGCGCAGGACGGCCCGCGCGTGGGGGCTGAGTAGGCGGCCTAGTGCCCACCGTACCGCCCCCCTCTTTGCAGGACAGAACTACAAGGGGGGGCTGAGCTGCGAATGCCTACTCCTTTCCTGGCCGCGTTGCTCTATGGTTGTAATTTTCCGTTTCTTTACGTTAATTTGTACAAAACAAGAATTTATTTGATTCGTTACATTATCACCATTATATTAGTAATTCAGTGAGATAATCAAACCCCTTACTATTTCGAAAAACTACAAGTACGTACCTAAGTATTTCATGAATGAAATAATAACTGATTCAGGAAAATATCCATCGCTTGAAAAAAGACGCCCCAACTCACATACACAACGTACACATTTAAAAATAAAATGATAAATATTTAAATCTAAACAAAATGTTACTAGAAAAACTCCACGCGGACTCCTCGCACACTTCGCTATCCTGGCGAATGCACTACCATTATGCTACCGCGGCCTCAGGGCCGAGTTCGAATTCTTTCTAGGCTTTCTTAAGCTGCAAGGCAGCGCCATCTCTTCGCATTGTAGGTAACCCACAATGTCAAATGAATACCTTTACAAGTATTAAACATTTGAGAGAAGAAATAGCAATTATAGTTATAATTAAAAAATTTAAGCATGTAACTGCCCGATATTTACATCTAAAGAAAATATTTCTAGAAAAAAATCCACGCGGACCAGGCAGCAGACGGGACTCGAACCCGCACCCTTCACGATCTATCTTATTATATATTCTATATTCTTATAGCTATCTTCGTGTATTTAAATATCGAGCAGTTACATGCTTGAAAATAAAAATTACAATGATAAATATTGTTTATCTTTGTCGAATAAATAATTTAGAAAATAATGTAAAATAATCACTATGTACGATTTTAATATTGACAAACACATCACTTAATTAAGACATCTAAATCAAAGTTTGATAAAGATTAGTAAAATATGTGATTTACCTAACGAATGAAAAATTTGCTTTATCGATTTTAAAATTAGCCTCCATTATGGTTTAAAATTTAAAAGATAAATTTGTTTTTTTTTTCTATTAAGTTATCATTAATCACTATAATGAATTCTGAAACAAATAATTAAGCCACCAATTTTAGTTAGAATGTTAGAATATTTTTAAATTTGTTAGAATATACTGTACGAATAGTTTAGGTACCGCAAGACAAAATAAATCTATTAAGTAAACCTATTTCTACCAGTAAAACAATGTGCGTAATTTCCTATTAGGATATAATTTTTATGACCTCTGACACAGACCAAGTAGACAAATTATTGGTTTTGAATAAACAAGTGACCAAATAATTAAATGTAAGCGCTCTATTCTACTTAATAAACGTAACAGAAATTTTATTTCAGAACAATATTTATTCACATTGAAACACAGATTCCGTGATGTTATTTAGTTATTCTTAAAATATACATCTAAATAAAAATATATGTGTATTTTCCAA